ATGATATGTTTGCTCATTATATTAATTTGAAGCAACATCAAAATCACTTCAAAATAGTTTATAACAACCCTAATTATCCTAATAATTTCCTATAATAGTTTATCTTTGGCTGAGCTGTACAGGTGTTTATTTTCATTATAATTATTAATAGGCTTAGTATATTGTATTAGCATATTATTATGAGCTTACATTAATCTACATCTAAACATAGATTTGACTAAATAATTTGGAAAATCCAAAAGTGCACGCACACCTAGAACTTTCATGTACCTAATGTTCTGAATAATCAATTTTATTTTATTAATTACCGAAACGCGTATTTCGTTTAAAGCTACAAAAATGGACATGGCGCAGCCGTCGTAACATTGTGCTCACACCGAGCTGACGTTTCTCGAAACAGTTGTAACGCTGCAAATTCGTAGTGTTATGTGTGTATTTAAAATGATAGATTGGGACCCAGTGCTCATAGCAGTTCTGTTGAAGAAGAAGGGAAATATATTAATAAAAAGAGAAAATTTTGGGCGAACATTAACAGTGGTAGAGCCAAGCGGTAGCTTTTGCTGTCGCACGGATGGGCCAGCTCGAACCGGGGTGGTACCACGACCTCACAGAATACCAGCGTGAAGTAGAGGTTTACCTCTGCGTTGCGCTTGGTGAGTGCAGGTGGCCGGAGGCCCAATCCCCCCCCCCCCCCCCATCAACATGGTAGTGTAATTAAATAAAAGACTACCCCAGGAGGGTACCAGCACCCCTGGAGAATCCCTCGCTGAGCATCCACGACCAAACTACTTCACACCTGAGCGTGGGTGCTCAGGCTGCCCCGCGTATTCTGGGGGGGGGGGGGGGGGGGGCAAAATTCCGCTCGCGACTAATGCTGCTCGGGGAAAGCGGAGCAATATGTCACGCTATCCGTGAATTTTTGCAACATCAGGGGACTTCATTCATTGCTCTTTTTAACTGAGACTCAGGTGTCCTCTCCGGCTGATACTTCATATCTCTCCTACCCGGGGTACAAATTGGAACACTCCTTTGTGCCCCGGGCTGGAGTTTGCATGAGAGAGGACATCTGTTTTCGACGCCTCGGCAGTCTTGATGGTACAGACCTGTCCATCATATGGCTGTGCGTAGACAGCGACGACCATCCCCGCGTCTACGGGTGCCTCTATAGGTCCCATAGCGGTAATGCCGACATAGACCGAATCATCGACCACGTCCAAATGGCTGCAGACTCCGTGCTACAACAGGTCCCATCAGCAGAGATCGTGATACTCGGTGATTTTAACGCCAACCACGCTGAATGGCCTAGTTCCCGTTTAACCGATCATGCGGGTAGATCTGTCTATGACTTTGCCTTGGCATATGGTCTAACACTACTGGTTACTTCGCCTACGCGGATCCCAGATGTGGTGGATCATGTACCTTCCCTGTTGGACCTTCTGCTGACCTCTCATCCGGACGGATATCAGGTCTCCGTCGAAGCCCCTCTGGGCTCTTCTGACCATTGTCTGATCCGGAGTACGGTGCCACTCACTCTTCGATCGCAGTTGCAATCTGCAGCTTGCCGCCGTGTTTGGCACTATAGGTTGGCCGAGATGCGGTCTTTTTTTGCATCCTACCCTTGGGGGCGGGTTTGCTTCTCGCCTTAAGATCCCAGCGTTGTTGCCGATTCTGTTGCTGATGTGGTACTAGTAGTGTTATGCTACTTACATATCATATTACACTATTTTAAATTTATTTTTTCATTCTGTTTTGATTTTCTGCATTCACCTCAAAACTGGATATTTTGTATCACCTTTATTTCCATAGGATCCTGTAACGTTTTTAAGCCATAAGAACACAGTAACAAATCATTTTCACTTCATATTTTCACGCTCTCAGCACTTTTTAAATCGGTGTCGATGGAGTCTACCTTTTTCGATCATTTATTTAGTTTTCCGTAACTCTGCAATTTCGGGCTTCGTACGCGCTGTTGCGCTACCTTTTTTTCTATATCAATAATATCTCATTTTTCACTTAAATCTTGCCGTTTCTCTATTACGGGCCTGAAACCAAAATTTTACATGTTTTGACATCGTTGTTTATCTGGTTGTCATGGCAATTTTTATTCAAATTCGTTACCGGTCTGTTGTTTCTACTTCAATATTTCCACATAAATACTCTTTTCCTCTTGGCCATTTACAAAAAATTTGCTTTTTATTTAAATAATTTTCCGTTCTCTCTAAAAAGGTATAAAAGCCGAACAATCGGCCAATAAAGGCAGTCTAGCTTCAGCTTTCAAACTCGAAGCATCTCCTAAAGGCCTTATCCTGGGGCCGCACTGCCCCGGGATCCTGCAAGCCTCTGACCCTGCCTCTGCCTTGCCTGAAGTCACCGGATCCTGCAAGTCTCTGCCTCTGCCTTCGCCTGAAGTCGCCGGATCCTGCAAGTCTCTGCCTCTGCCTCCGCCTGAAGTCGCCGGATCCTGCAAGTCTCTCCCTCTGCCTTCGCCTGCAGTCGTCGGAATCCTGCAAGCCTCTGCCTCTGCCTTCACCTGAAGACGCCGGGATCCTGTAAACCTCTGCCTTCACCTGGAGTCGCCGGGATCCTGCAAGCCTCTGCCTTCACCTGAAGTCGTCGCCGAGCCACGCCCACGCCTTCACCTACGCTGTATTACTATTTTATGGTGTAAAATGATATGTAAGTAGCATAACACTACATTTTTTTAAATGATATGTAAGTAGCATAACACTACATCTTCAGGGTATGGAACTGTTTATTCCATCCTCTGTGGTGCCTCATCGGAGGCAGATCCCAGCCATGGTTTGGTCGCTCCTGTAAAATAGCATCACGCTATAAGCAGGATTGCAACCGGGCCTGGGCTGACGCATCAACGTCTCGGGATGTAAACACCAGCGCACTTAAAAAGAAGTATAATTCCGCCTCCAGGTCCTTCAAAAGCGTTATTGCCAAGGCAAGGTCTGAGCACATCGGCAGAATTGGCGAGAAGCTAGTTCGCCTTCCTTCGGAAACCCGTGCATTCTGGTCTCTCGCCAAGGCTGTCCAAGGGAACTTCTGTCATCCATCTCTTTTATCTCTGCACAGAGAGGACGACTCACTGGCCCATGCCGCAAAGGAGAAAGCCTATCTGTTGAGCTCTCTTCTTGCGTGCAACTCGACTCTAGATGACGGGGGACACACCACCGACCATCCCGCGATGTGAGTGCTCCATGCCGGATGTGCGATTTACACAACGCTCGTTTCGCAAAGCACTCTTCTCCCTGGACGTCAGCAAGTCGAGTGGGACCGATGGAGTCCTTCCCATTGTGCTGAAGACGTGTGCTCCGGACGCGCATCTTTTCCGGTACTCCTACTCCCAAGGCGTAGTCCCGAATTTATGGAAGACAGCTTTGGTCCACCCGATCCCTAAAAAAGGCGACCGCTCAGATCTGTTGAGGATAAATAAATATTGTCTACGGCCCTTTTAGGTTTTTTATATCTTGTAAGTTGTTGTCATGGTTACGAAAAATAACAAGAAAAATGTAAGACTAATTTTTCGTAATAAGTATATTTTTGTTAGAAGATTAAATGTTTCAAGTCTAAGAAATCTTCTTATTTCCATGTGAGGAGCTATATACAACGGTCATACAGAAATTCCCCACATAATGGCGACCGTGAAAGCGGATAGACCTGGACAAACCGAACTCGACGCTATGAGGCGTAAAATGGCATATACACGTCGAGTATTCATCAGGTCAGTGCGAGAGATAGAGGAGTCGAATGATATTGAGCAGATGATGAATTTCAGTATCTTGTAGAGAAATTGGAAGAGTTAAAATCTTTTGACAGTCAAATAAAAAATATGACGATCGATTCTTGCACGGATGAGCAATTTGATGAAGAATGTGACGAATGCGAATCGTATTTAAGGAAGTATTATGCAGTAAAAGTTAAGATTGAAAAATTACGAAAGGAATGTGATAGAGCAAATACATCTTCAGCGGCTACTGACGGATCTCATCAGAAGAGAAACATAAAGCTACCGAATATCGAGCTCATAAAATTCGATGACAATCCGAAGACGTGGTTATCTTTCTGGGGACAGTTCAAAAAGATACACGAGGACGAGACTCTTGAACCAAAAGATAAGTTCCTGTATCTCATACAGGCTATGAAGGAGGGGTCCAAAAGCAGAGAGCTCGTAACTAGCTACCCTCCGTCTGGCAAGAATTACCCAAGAGCGCTGGAGCAGCTACAGGGACGATTTGCTCGAGAAGGTATCCTCATCGAGACGTATGTGAGAGAGCTGCTAGGTCTCGTATTATGTCAGGCTAAGGGACAAAATATGGATATATGATCGCTTTACGACCAGTTGTTGACCCATTTGCACGCTTTAGAGTCACTCAAAGTAACAACGGAAAAGTACAGAGCGATGTTGTATCCATTATTCGAATCAGCTTTACCTGAAAATATTTTAATTGTTTGGAATCGAACTAGAATTGTAAACGATGTTGGTCAATTAACGCAACTTTTAGAGTTCTTAAAACGAGAAGCCGAGGCTGAGGAACACATTAAATTGAAGCGCGCTAACTTTAATACTTATAGTTCTTCCAGCAGTGTTGATATGCCGCCGACAGCAGCTTGCATCGTTTCGAAAGAGGAGACAAGTTCCAGTAAAACAGGTAATGACTTTTGCTATTTTTGTGATAATACGTCTCATTCGATTCTTCAATGTAATAAAGGGCTCAAAATGTCTTTAGATGAAAAGAGAGCCGCTGTCAAAGATAAGAGGGGTTGTTTAATTTGTTTACGTAAAGGTCACGTAGCTAAGCACTGCAAGACGTTTTTACAATGTATGGCCTGCGGTAAACGTCATGTAGTGATATTTTGTCCGGACCTTCATAGGGATAATCAAAAGGAACCCAAAGAAGCGACAGCACTTTTCTCTAGGAAAGGCGGAAATATTTTATTACAGACTTTGATTTTAGAGGTGTAGGTGTAAGGCGCAAACCTTCCAGCGCTTTATGGATTCCATTTTACAAGGGCTTAATTTTGTCTTTTGTTATTTAGATGATTTACTTATCGCTAGTGACAACGAAGTTCAACACAGGCAGCATTTAGAAATAATTTTTAAAAAGTTTAATGAATATGGAATTTCAATTAATTTGGCAAAATGTTGTTTCGGACAAACAAAACTAGAATTTTTGGGACACGAAATTAGTACTGAAGGTGTCAGGCCGTTGCAAGATAAGGTTCAGGCAATTGTGGAATTTCCGAAGCCGAAAACTATTTCAGAGCTAAGACGTTTTCTCGGCATGGTTAATTTTTATCGATCTCATCTCCCCAACGCTACTTTATATCTAACAGAATTAAATAAGTATCTTAAAAGCTCAAAGAAAAATGATAAAACTCTTATCGTCTGGAATGATAGTGCGAACGAAGCATTTACGCAGTGTAAGGCAGGTCTCACACAGGCCGCTACATTGACGTACCCTAGAGTGGATTCCGCACTCGCTATAATGACTGACGCATCTAATACATGCGTGGGAGCAGTCTTGCAACAAAAGGAAGGAGATATCTGGAAACCATTGGGTTATTTCTCAAAAAAATTGACCACCACCCAACAGCGATATAGCACCTATGATCGCGAGTTGCTCGCTATATACTTAGCTATAAAACATTTTCGGAAATTATTTGAAGGTCAAGAAATAACCGTGTATACGGACCATAAACCTTTAACTTTTGCATTTCAAAAGGTAGGACGCGATGAAAGCGAAACGCCTCGGAGAACGAGACATTTAGCTTTCATAAGCGAGTTCACTACAAATATAAAACATATAACCGGTAAGAATAACATTGTAGCCGACACCTTATCACGCGTCGAAGCCGTGATTATGCCAACTGCGTTGAATTTCGATGACATTGCAAATGAACAGCGTAGCGATAGTTATATTACGAATTTTATGTCTGGTTTAAATACCGATAATATTTTGTTGAAAGAACTAGTTATACCTATGTTAGACAAGCCTATTTTTTGTGAAATGTCTACCAATATAGCTCGTCCGTACCTACCGGAAAAGTTTCGACGCCTAGCTTTTGATAGTTTGCATAATTTGAGCCATCCTGGAATTCGGTCTACACGAAAAATGTTAGCTAAAAAGTATTTCTGGCCGAGTATGAATCGCGATGTTTCTTTATGGGCAAAAACGTGCATACTATGTCAACGTTCTAAAGTTAACAGACATACGGTATCGAATTTGACTAAGTTTGCGGAAGTAGATCGTTTCGAGCATGTGCACATCGATATCGTGGGCCCTCTTGAGATTTCACCAGATGGTTATAGATACTTACTCACGATAATTGATAGGAGAACTAGGTGGGCCGAAGCATTTCCGTTACGCGACATTACGGCAGAAACTGTTGCCAAACATTTATATGAGGGTTGGATTTGTCGTTACGGTTGCCCGATGAAGTTAACTAGCGACCAAGGTCGCCAGTTTGAGAGTAGTCTTTTTAACCAGCTGTTAAAAATGTTGGGGGTTAAAAGAATTCGAACTACTCCTTATCACCCGCAAAGCAATGGCGCAGTCGAACGTTGGCATCGTTCTTTAAAGACAGCACTTTCGACTCGCCTGTCACATGGATCTTGGGTGGAAGAGCTACCCACGGTATTACTGGGGCTTCGCGCGGCCGGCCGCAGCGATTCAGGGGTTAGCGCCGCCGAGTTAACTTTCGGACGAAACTTACGTCTACCAGGAGACTTTTATGGCAATTCTTCGAAGAACTGTAATGTCAACGACTATTGTTTAGTAGATAAGATTAGAGATACTATTCGTAGTTATAAGCCTACATCCGACAATTCACGTAACTGTCAAAGTTTTTTTGTGCACAAAGACTTACGTAACTGTGAATATGTCTTTGTTCGGGACGATTCAATACGTAAACCTTTGAAACCACCCTACGACGGTCCATATCGCGTGATAAAAAGGGCTTCAAAAGTTTACCTAATTCAATTACCCGATAGGCAGGTACATATTTCTATTGACAGATTAAAGCCTGCATATGTGTTAAAGGAATGCGATGGTAACATAACAACGCCAAGCGACAGTAACGCTGACAACGCAGCGGATGTGGTGCCTGCGCATGTACGGTTCGCGTTGCCGCCGCCCACACCGGTGACATCGTCGTCGCCCGGCCCTAGCAACCCGATAAGCGTGAAAACAACGCGAAGTGGTCGCATTGTTAAATTACCTTCACGATTTAATATAAGTTAGTGTTAACATAAAATGTATTATATATGCAATATAATTACATGTTTAAATAATATTCAAGTTAGCTAGTATGGATGTGAAAGTATTATTTGCATTGTTAGGTGCAGAATATTTTCATTCAGACTATTCAAGTTACATTACAAATACAAATTGAATGTAATTTTAGATGTATTGTGTTTTGTATTTTGCGTTATTTTGCGTGTACTGCAGTTTCATTTATGTTTAGGTAGTTAGTTTAGTTATAATGTATTTCGTTTCATTTGAAATATTTCCTTTGCAGAAGCATTAGTGCTAAAAGTTTTACAATTTTTACTATGGGCAATTATCAAGAAAAACCAGTTATTGTTTCTCAGGCTCAGAATACCATAGAGAATAAAGTGGATAATTTTCAAATATGGTTATATGTGATAGCCAGTTTTATGGGAGCAATAATATTGTACACTATTTGGATGAAGTTTAATAAGAAGTTCAAAAACTGGCTTCGCCGTCAAGTGTTCATGGCCAGCGTTCCAATGTCGGGCCAGAATATGGGTCAGATGATAAGCGCCTCTAGCGCCAGTCTGCAGCACGCGCCCGCGCCTGCCGCGGCAGCCGCTCCCTTCACAGGGATCTCCGTACAGCCCTGCGCTTCAGCGCATTAACAAGTGTTTATTATATAGTTTTAAGTTTTTGTATTCTTTTTGTAAAGGGGGAAGTAATGTAGGTGTGCTGCGCACACACATGCATAATTAGTAATGTTGTATCTAGCTACCATATATATGTATACTTAATAATATTGTACCTCACTACTTAGTACTAAGATTTTCAGTCAGTCAGACAGTAGCTAGTTGCCCGTCAACTGTATTACACGCTCTTCTACAATAAATATGTCATTAAGTTATGCAATCTTTCATTATGGTCACCCGTAGAGACGCATATGGAGACAGCTCCTAAAGAGGTTTCACATGAGGGTAAAAAGAAGAAAATACGTGCTCTGTGTGATACTGGATCGCAAAGGTCGTATATTAGGAAAAACGTAGTAAAAAGCCTTAAGGTAGTAGGTATAGAGAATTTAGGTTATTCACTATTTAGTGGTGTTACTAAGCCAGCAGAAAACCACAGTCTTGTCGAAGTGAATGTAAGTAGTCTAGATTCTTCTTTCTCTACAAAATTCATTGCTCTTGAACTCGACGACATTTGTGGCTATCTTCCCAAAGCAGACGATCCCAAGCTAAGGTCAAAGTTAAAGTCACTGAATATAAGTATTGACGACAGTGACTGTGACCTTAGCGATGTAAATATGTTAATAGGAACTGATTATTTAGGAGTAATTTGTACGGGCACTATTGTACAATTAGATGGGCCTTTAGTAGCTATAAAGACGAGGCTAGGATGGACATTACAGGGCCCTAACTTTTATAGTGCTGCACAGTGCTCAATGACTTTCAATTGTCACGCTCAGAGTAAACTTTCAGATTTGTGGGATTTAGAGATATTAGGGATTTCAGAGCCACATGAACAGATGTGCAAAGATAGGAAAAAAGAAGAGGTAATGAGTCAATTTGAGCAGAATATTAGTTTTAAATACAATTGTTACCAAGTAGGGTTTTTGTGGAAAGATGGTTACCCCGAAATAGGCAGTAATTACAATGTAGCTTATAAAAGACTTTTAACGACGACTAGGAAGTTAGAGAGGACTGGTCATTTGCTAAGTTATAACGATGTTTTTCAGAATTGGTTAGACGAAGATATTATAGAACATACTGAAAACAATATAGCAGAAGGACACTTTATTCCTCATCACGCAGTCATTAAGATGTCTAGGACTACAACGAAGATACGTCCAGTATTCGACGCATCGTGTAAAGATGCGCAAGGATTGTCTTTGAATAACTGCATCGAATCGGGTACCAATCTTATAGAACTAATCCCTAAATTATTGATGAACTTTAGGAAAGGTACGTACGGCGTCACGTCGGATATAAAGCAAGCCTTTCTGCAAATTTTAGTTTCAGAGAAAGATAAAGAGTATTTAAAGTTTCTGTGGTGGGAGAATCCGTTGACCAAAGAGAAGATAGTCACTTTCAGACATAAGAGAGTAGTATTTGGGGTGACTTGTAGTCCGTTTCTCTTGGCGGCTACGATTAATTATCACTTAGGCAATTTTGAAGGAATGTACGGTCAGAGAAATTTTGAAACACTCCTTTTATGTTGATAATTGTGTAGCTAGCTTTGATACAAAAGAGGCTTTATTTACTTTTATAGACGAAGCTAAGGAAGTTATGCTAAAGGGGGGTTTTGATTTACGATGTTGGGTTACCGCTCCTATTAGAGTAGATAACACTGTCCAGACTCAATCTGTATTAGGAGTGCTATGGAATACTCTTACGGACGAATTACAGTGTAGTTTCCGTCTTAGTAGCACTATACCAGATCGGGTCACGAAGAGAGATCTTTTGTCATTAACTCAGCAGATATTTGACCCTATTGGATTTCTTGCACCTGTTACCCTAGTGCCTAAACTAATAGTACAAAAGGCTTGGATAGATAGTACAGATTGGGATCAAGCTATCAGCAACGAGTTATCGAAGGAATTTAAGAGTTGGCTAAATCATGTTCATCTGATAAATTATTGCAAGTTGTCGAGACGCTTATCAGAGGAGAAGTTGACGAACTGTAACAAAAGTTTACATTTGTTTTGTGACGCATCTATTAATGCTTATGCAGGTTGTGTCTTTCTTCGGACCGAAAGCAAAAGTAAAGTTACGATTAGGCTGGTTATGGCCAAAAGTAGAGTAGCGCCAATTAAAAGATCAATAACTTTACCTAGATTGGAGCTAATGGGAGCGCTTATTGCATCGCGGCTTGCAAATGAGATAAGTAGAACGTTGTTTACCGACGACACCTGCCCGTTATATTGTTGGACAGACTCCGCGGTTGTGTTAGCCTGGATCCAAAGACAGTGTTATTGGAAGCCGTTTGTGAGCAATAGGGTAAGTGAAATCTGTGCTCACACTAAGAAGGAACATTGGCGGCACGTACCGGGCCACTGCAATCCGGCAGACCTACTGTCACGTGGCTGTAATATGAAGACATTAATGAACAGTCACTGGTAGGATGGCCCTGCTTGGCTATTATCTGACGAAGAACTGTGGCCTCAGTCTAATCACATCGCAGTAGATGAGAACGCTGTTTCCATAGAAGCAAAGAAGGAGGTACTTGTAAATACTAATGTAGATACTGAACATTTTAGCGAGAAGCTTTTATACTTTTCTAAGTATTCAAGAATTGTACGTGTAGTAGCTTGGATATTCCGATGGAGAAGGCGACGAATGTTTAGTATAGCTTATATAAGCAATGATGAGTTCGAAGAAGCTGAGAATATACTTATAAGACTTATTCAGGGTGAACATTATGTAAATAGAACTAAATTGAATAAGAAACTGTGCATACATTTAGATAGTAATAGTATTATGAGAGTAAAGACTAGATTAGGTTTAGGAAATTATGATAAAGATTTTTCGAGTCCCATATTATTACCAGGGAAAAATGTCATTGTGAGGCGACTCGTTGAAGAGAAACATATATACTTAAAGCACATTGGATCACATACTTTAATGTCAGAGCTGAGAAACAGATTCTGGATTACAAGTGTGAGATGGCTATGTAAGGATATAGTTAAGAAATGCATAATTTGTCGTAGGCAAAAGGGCATACATTATGATACACCGGAGAAACCACTCCCTCTTGAACGGATTCAAGGCACGGCAGCGTTTCAAATGACAGGTATAGATCTGGCCGGGCCGTTGTATTTACATAATCAAGAGAAATGTTGGGTGGTTTTATTTACTTGCGCGACATTTAGGGCTGTGCATTTTGAGATCGTAGATTCATTGTCCACAAATAGTTTTATTATGTATCTTCGTAGATTTATTGCTCGAAGAGGTCGTATAGATGTCATTTTCACGGACAACGGAACAAATTTTCGAGGGACTGCCAATTTACTGAAGGATATTAATTGGCAGGAGGTTGAAAGTGTGACGGCAGTCCATGCTATAAAGTGGCGTTTTATTCCACCTAGAACTCCTTGGTGGGGAGGTTGGTGGGAGAGGCTCATTAGAGTATTAAAGGAGATGTTGCGAAGAATATTGGGGCGTCAGCGATTGACTTGGGTAGAGTTGGACACAGTCTTGTGCGATTGTGAAGCTGTCATTAATAGTCGGCCACTAACATATGTCTCGACTTGTACCGACGATTTGCGGCCACTTACACCTATGTTATTTCTACATGGCTTACCTTCTAATGATACTTCTGATTTAGATTATGTAGATAATATGAATTTAAATGTAAGATACAAATATTTACAAAAGTTGAGAGAAGATTTCAGAGTTCGATTTCGTAAGGAGTATTTGGCTTTACTTACAGCTAGATGGAAGGAGAAGACAATAGAAATGAAGAAAGGAGATATAGTTCTAGTAGAGACAGACGCGAAAAGGCTATTTTGGCCCTTGGGGTTAATCATGGAAGTAGTTACCGGGGCTGATGGTGTTACTCGTTTGGCTAGAGTCAAGACTCAAAAAGGTGAAACTTTAAGACCATGTCAGAGATTGTATCCGCTTGAGATTTCAAATGATTCTGACCTCTTGCAACGAGCTGAAGTAACGATAGAGGATGAGAAGTTATCAGTAAGTTCAGATAGTCCCGACTTACCCTCCTCGGTTACAGGTGGCGCGAAGGTGACGAAAACAACGCGGTGCGGTCGAAATGTGAAATTGCCTGCTCGGTACTTATGAATTACATTTGGTTTTATGGTTTTACTTAGTATGTTGAGTTGCGTTAATTGGTTACCATTTTATTTCGGGTCTGGAGTGTGTTGAGGATAAATAAATATTGTCTACGGCCCTTTTAGGTTTTTTTATATCTTGTAAGTTGTTGTCATGGTTACGAAAAAATAACAAGAAAAATGTAAGACTAGTTTTTTGTAATAAGTATATTTTTGTTAGAAGATTAAATGTTTCAAGTCTAAGAAATTTTCTTATTTCAATGTGAGGAGCTACATACAACGGTCATACAGAAACTCCCCACACACTCGGTAGAAGAGGAATAACCTATAGCTTTATTTAAAAATTGTTTTATTAATGTCCGCATTTAAATTTAATATTGTAGATTTGTATGGGAAGGTTCTGATATCCTAAGATACAGGATTAATCCTAGTTTAGGAATCAGTACAACAATTTGTTTGTAACCTATATAAGTTTTAATAAAGATTATTATTATTAAAAAAAATGTTTGACCTACATATTTTTTAGCTTTTTTCATAAAATGAAATAATAGGTGTTTTTAATTGGCGAAATGAATGAAATTATAAATATGGAAAAGATTAGTGTCAATGAATATTGTCCTTTAAATCATGTTTTCTAATCATCCTCATTACAGCATACCCACCACTGTGCAAGCCTCTCTCCGCCTATAATGGGATCAATATGCACCATATACGTTACGTTACGTTAAGGTTTAAGACAACTAAATATTTTTTTAGAATACGAAAAATTATATTTTAATACGATGCGATAAAAATACAAGATAATGTTCAAGAGACACTTAAACATGAATATTCTTTTTAATCTAGTACAAAGAGCGAAATGAATAACTTTCTACTAATTCAGATTTCAAGATATATAAACATGATATTAAAATAACCACATGAACAAACAAAAGCAATTTGTTTCGTGAAAACAGTCTTATTTACTTTAGTAGAGTTTTGTTACAATATACAATGTAAAGAATGCCTTTTGACTTGTTTCAAGTAATGAAAATTGTAAGAAAAAGCAAGATCAGATTTCAAACACAATATCCTCATAATTATACCATAAAGCTTAAAAGAGAAGGCTTCTACACTGCTTGATATTTTCATTAAATATTAATTAAGTTGAAGAACAAAGGTAATTATAAAGCTATGAGGATAAAGTATACAGTCTGGCGCATTGAAATAGGGCAGAATAGAAAAGGATAAAGAAATTCATTAAAAAAACTATTGTAATACATCTTGGGGAAAACAAAAAACTGCAAAATAGTTATTTAGAAAAATATCGTACTTCAGCCGGTCTTATGACCCGCCTATTATGAAAATAAATAGCCGTCTATTTAGTAGCACCAATTGATATTATCGTCCATAAACTCGAGATTTTATGGTGGGCGAGTAACCGAGCATAGCCTTCTCCGTACCTCGCTGAGCAACCTCCTACGACCAGTGGCGGACCACGTCTCAAATCAATTTGCCTGGACATCGGATATTCCTATGATATTTCAGCGCAACTTGTCTTTCTCTTCTTCCAGCTCCAGAATCTTCTCGTCAGTCCTCAGGGTGCGTGCGTTATAAGTTGCCAGGAGACTAATTAAATGGCGTCATTAAACCTATTCTAAGAAAAGACAAATTAAATGGATGAATTTTATTAGAAAATACAAAATGTGTAAGGATTCATCACAAAATTTTTCTTAGGAAATAACATAGGCTAAAATTACACAAAATATGAACAATTACTAATTAACAACCCAAACTATTATAAGGAAACAGTATAATATGTAGACATGAAATTAGTAACTTAAACCTATTATTAATTCATACCACGTTTCAGCTTAGGAACAATTAATTTAGTTTGGATTTAATGACCAGAACTTATTATATTTTAAGGTATAAAAATTAATAATATAATATTAATTTTTGTACCTTTGAATGTACTTGAATGGTGCCGGTACTTGAATGTACTGACCTTATTGTATAGTTATTAAAGCTAATCACTACCCGAGTAATTGGTTAAATATACGCATATGGCTCAATCCTGCATTAATAATGCAAGTCACTCCGGTTACAATGGCATTGATTCCGTATAAATAACTCAAATCCAACTTTTTAATCTTCTTATATTATAATTGTGTGACTTTAAGCTCGCTGGTTTTAATCCGTGAGATGGACCAAATTTATGTTGGAGAAAGATAGCTCCGTTGAAAATGATCTGCATAGCTTCGAACTTTAAAAACATGTAATTCCGTTGACGCCTTACAGTTACAATGAAATTATATCTAATGAAATATGGTAGGTAAATTAAAAAAAAATAATGTACTACGATTGATCTTCAAACAACACATTCAGTGATGGCTTATTACTGGTAGCACGATGGAGGCGCTCCGCAACAGGTATGATCCAGTGCAATGTTAGAGATGCCATTGGCACTAGTCAAAGCATAATGTCAAGATTGTGGTCTGGCTCCAGGGACACTGTGGAACAATATAATTTTTATACGAATATTAGTGTTAGCGTCGTAATTCCAGACCGATTTCTACTAATTATGGTGAGAAGTCAACGAAAGCTAGGTAATAAGTTTTGAAGTTGCAGTCGGAACACCAGATTCTAGTAAGCGATCAAACTGTGAGGAGGACACTGCATGAATTCAACCATTATGTTCGTAGACCACTTTGGATTTCAGCGCTACGATACAATACAATACGTATGTGCGATATCATAATATTATAGCCAAACAATGCTAGTGACAACTGTTAAATGGTGGGATTCATTATTTTAATGGACTCCGAAAATTCAGACAAATACAAATATTGATATATGTGACATTCATTAATTTAATGGTATGCCGCAGTGCCAATGTGTAACTAATGACACGTTGAAATTATTGGTTAATTTATTTTAAAACCTTACTTAATCCCAAGAAATGAAAAGTAATCGGTTTCGTTTTTAAATATTAAAATTGACGGCTCCGTGGCGCAGTGGCTTAGCAATGAGTTGCTGCGCTGGGGGGCGCCGGTTCGAATCCCGCACGGAACAAGTATTTGTATAGCCTACAAATAATTGTTCCGGGTCTGGATGTTTGTCCTTGTGAAATTTTTGTTTGTAAACTGCCTCCACGATACAGGAGAAAATCCTAGTGTGGGGGTAACGTTTTTTAAAGAAATAGAAAAAAAAAAAGAAAAAATAGACCCAACCGTTAAGGAGTTCAGTGACAAACACGTACAGTTTACGTACAGTTACACAGAACTATGAATTAACATTAAAATTAAAAAGAAAAACTTAGGTCGTGCCTTAAAATAGCTTTCATCATTACAGCCATTCACAAGTCCACTGCTGAGTATAGGCCTTCCCCAAGCAATGTCACAAAGCACGGTTCCGAGCCACCTGCATCCATTGATTTCTTGTATGTCGTACCAGGTCGTCACTCCGTCTAGTGTGGGAGGGGGGGGTTACTCTGGTTTTACTTCGGATAATCTCGTTCGTAAGTCTATCACGCAGAGAAACGCTGAGCATAGCCCTCTCCATAGCTCGCTGAGCGACTTTGAGCTTCCTCATACGACCAGCAGTGAAGAACCACGTCTCAGATCCATAGGTCATCACTGGCAACACGCACGTACGTAACACGTACAATCTAGTTTTAAGGTTTTGAGGTATGCCTGCTGAGAAGTTGTGTCGTAATCTTCCGAACGCTGCCTCTCGGTCGAAGTTGGACTTACTTAGTCGGACTATATGTCCTAGGTAAACATATTCGTCAACAACATCGAGCTTAGTGCTTCCAACAACTACCAGCATAGGTATGACATGGACGTTAAACATGATTTTTGTTTTATCCATGTTCATCTTAAGTTAACCTATCCGTTGGGAGACACTATTGAGGTCATTGAGCATAGTGCTTAGGTCTTTCAGCAATTCTGCCATAAGGACTATATCGTCAGCAAATGGAAGGTAAGTGATTAACGCGCCATTGAGGTTAATACCGTATCCTTTCCAGTTCAGTAGCTTCAAAACGTCTTGTCTTTCGATGCAGCGACGAAGAGTTCCGCTTATCGTACGCCGAAATCAGTCTGTACTTCTTCAAGAGAGCGTTGTCGTATTTTTTGAAGAACAATACCACCGCACTTCTGCTCCACGCCTCCGGAGTAGTGCCACCAGGGGAGATGGAATTAAAAATCTTCTGAAGGACTTTAAATACTGGTTTTGCATCCAAATAGGACTTCGACACCTTTAAATAGGAGAAAGTTCGTTTCTAATTAAGTCCCCGTCGGCCCTGCTGTCCATGACTCTGGTAGCAGTCATGTTAATGGCGAGGTTGGGGGTGCGAAGAATAAAAGCATTAAGTATAAAAACGTTACCTCCACAAAAGGATTTTCTTCTGAATCGCGGGGGCAGTTTACATACATAGATTTCTCAAGGACAAAAATCCAGACCTGGAACAATTATTTGTAAGCCATACAAATACTTATTAAGTGCGAACCCGATGCCCTTAGCGCTGCAACTACATTGTAAAGCCACTGCGCCACGAAGCCGTCAAAATTTCCATAAGGTTTGGTTTCCATCAACGAAGATTCAACCTGGCAACCTATAAAGCACGCACATTGAGATCAGAAGAGAAGATTTTAGAGATGTGGGAAGAAATGACAAGTTACACTGGGATGTTATGGGATAATGTGCTCTGTCACCGAAACGGTGACCAATGAAGATTAAAATTGTGTCGACGAGCTGCGTACCTTACTTATGCTTAGAATTACCAAAAGGTATTTACCGAAGGTTATACGATTTTACCAACTTCAGCACTAACCGATGGGCAATAAATGAGGATATTTCAAGAGACATAGATTGTTCTACTATTTATTACACCGTGTTGATGGGACACTACAACGTGAAATTTGGTACAATGAAAGACCATAAGCTGAGAATGGGGAACTTTGTGATTGGAGAGCGGAACCCAAGTAGATAAGAACTGGCTGACTTCATGGAGAAGGAAGGCCTGTG